GGCATAGATGTGACATGGACGTTACACATGACTTTTGTTTTGTCCATGTTCATCTTAAGACCTATCCGTTGAGAGACACTATTGAGGTCATTAACATTGTGGTTAGGTCCTCCAGCGATAATGCCATAAGGACTATATCGTCGGCAAAACGAAGGTGAGTGATGTACTCGCCATTGATGTTAATACCGTATCCTTTCCAGTCCAGTAGCTTGAATACGTCTTCCAATGCAGCGGTGAAGAGTTTCGGGGAAATAACGTCACCCTGTCTTACACCTCTCTGCAGTTGGATAGGTTTCGTACTCTGGTTCTGTACTCGGATAGCCATCGTAACCCTACTGTATAAACACTTCAGCACTTCAATATACCGACAGTCAACTTGGCACCGCTGAAGGGACTGCAGGACCGCTCAAATTTCGACGGAATCAAAGGCTTTCTCATAGTCCACATACGCCAGACATAGTGGCATATTGTATTCTCTACTATCCTCGGACTTCTGTACAATTTTCCGAAGGGTATGTATGTGGTCTATGGTGCTAAAGCCTTTTCGGAAACCGGCTTGTTCAGGAGGCTGGAAGTCGTCAAGTCTGCGTGCAAGACGATTCGTAATGACTCTCGAAAACAACACGTAGACGCGGCTCAGAAGGGAAATCGGTCTGTAGTCCTTCAAGAGAGCGTTGTTGCCTTTAATGAAGAACAAGACTACCGCAGTTCTGCTTCATGCCTCCGGTGTAGTGCCACCATGGAGGACGGAATTAAAGAGCTTCTGAAGGACTTTAAGTACCGGTTTTCGACCCGCTTTCAGAAGCTCCGTTGTAATTCCATCCTCGCCTAAGGCCTCGTTTTTAAGGTGCTGGAGAGCCATTCTAATCTCGCTCAGACTGACGTCCGGAATATCATCGGAACAGTGTTGGAGAAGACTTCCTCTTGGATCGTTACTCACACTTGAATGTGGCTCCAACGATGATCTGTACAGCTGCCCGTAGAACCTCTCAATCTCACTCAAAATCTCAGGTGTCTCGGAAATTACGCTCCCACACTTCGGCTTCGACAGTTGGCTCTGTCTGGTAGACAGATCTCTAGCAAAGACTTTGGAGCCCTAGTTCCGGTCGATCGCTTCTTCAATACGTGCTGTATTGAAGTTGCGTAACTCCCGCCGCATACATTTGGAGATCTGTCTGTTCAGTTGCTTGTACGATATCAAATCTGCTGAAGACTGCAGCTTCATTTCCCGTCTAACAGCCATGAGATTAAGAGTGTGATCGGAGTTTTTGTGTTCTTCTGCGGCGGGTCTTGCAGAACTTAGCTCCGATCGCATGGACAGTTTCCACGAGCTTGTTATTCATATCGTTCACTGCATTGCAATCTTCTAGGCACTTAAAACGGTTTTGTAGCTCTAGCTGAAAGGTTTCGGGACTCTGTATTAGAGCACGAGGGGACGGAGCGTTGACTTCATTAGTCGAGACTTCTCCAACTTAACGTTTAGGTTCAGTGTGCCTCTCACCATTTGGTGATCGCTACCAGTTTTCACACTCGCGATCACGGAGACATGACTGAACAGTTGTCGTCTGGTCGTCATAATGAAGGCAATCTCATTTTTTGTCGAACCGTCGGGGCTCGACCAGGACCACTTCCTGTGAGGCCGCTTCTCGAAGAAAGAGTTTATCATAAAGAGTCCCTCTTTCTCCATGAAGTCGGCAAGCTGCTAGCCCCTTGGGGTCCGTTGCCCTATTCCAAATTGCCCTACCTTCAGCTCATCGTTCTTTTTGTGCCTAGTTTTGCGTTGAAGTCTCCCATTAACACCGTATAGTGGGTTTTGGAGGAATGCATGGCTCTAGATATTCTCATACGTTTCCCCCACCTCCTCATCGGGATGTGCCGAGGTTGGTGCGTAAACCTGTATGACCTTCAGCGAATACCGTTTGGTGATTCTGAGTATAAGGTACGCAACCCTCATCGACACACTCTCAATATTTACAACGTTGTTAACGAGAGATTTGTGGACTATAAATCCGACACCTCCTTGGGACAAATGGTCGCCCTCCCGGTGATAGAACAAGTTGCCGGATTCGAGGATTACCATGTCGTCCCCCTCTCTTCGAACTTCGGATAATCCTATAATATTCCAGCGCAACTTTCATATCTCTTCTTCCAGCTCCAGGATCTTCTCGTCACTCCTCAGGATGCGTGAGTTATATGTTGCCAGGTCAAGTCGTCGTAGGTGGCAACCGAACCTCCACCGGAGATTCTTAGCACCCCCTGCCCCGCCGTTACCATTGTTGCCGCCGGGGACTGGGGGCAGTCTCTTCGTAACTTTCATCATGAGGGGTATATTGCCATAGTTGCCACGCTTGGAGAGCGGGTTGGCAACCGCAGTTTTTTTATTGTTGTTTCGCTGTTATCAGAAAGATACTGCTGCCCATCTTCTGCCTCAGTTTCCCTCTGTCGCCTCTTACGACACCCACGGGAAGATATGGGGTAGTGGGTATTCTTACCCGCCACTACACGGGGTATAGATTATTACATAATACTTATTGGAAGTCATTTTTTTATATACCACTGGTTCGGAAAATACCTCTGTCCTGGGAAGAACCAGAAAGAAACCCAGCGGGACTTTTTTTAAACATGTTTAATTTTACAATAATTTTGTTTTTTTGTATGAACAAATTTTAAACGAGTTTTAATAGAAACAACAGTTCGTCACTGCGAACACGTCATTCCCAGGGGTTTTTTTTCACTTAGGTATTCTTTGATATTATAATAACCCTTTTTGTAGAATTTTTCTTTAATAAAACATTTAAACTTGTTTATTGACAAATTTTGTACATTTTCTGGGATTTTGTTGTAAAAGCGTGGAGTCTAGTAACTGGTATTACAAGTTTGTTTGTTCCTAGTGTTTAAAGCATGAACATCTTTATTCTTATCAAAGCTATTTATGATTTTATGTACCTACATACATTACATTTTCATAAACATATTGTGATGTCAAAGTTAATATGTTTATTTCTTTAAAATTTTCTCTAAGGGACTCATTACAGTTTAAGTTATAAATCGAACGTACGGTTCTCTTTTGCAAAACAAATATACCTTCGATGTCAGTCGCATTACCATTGTCGCTCGCAAAATTCCATAAGACATCACGCTATGAAAGTAACTAAAATAAACTAATTTAGCTGTCCCAACATTGGTGCGACTTCTAATCTTTCTTACAGCATATGCTACAGAACTAAGTCTGCCTACTAATTTACATATATGGGGGCCCCTTTGAAGCTTCACGTCAATAGTAATACCAAGAAAAACAGTGGTATCCACAAGACTCAACTCTACCCCATTTAAGAACACATTGGTATTTGAATGTTTTGAAATATAACATTAGGTATTGTAAATTTAATACATTTTGTCTTATTGCCGTTGAAGAGAAAATTGTTGGCGTTAAACCAATGTACTAATTTCGATAGAGCATTATTTACATTGTCAAAATTAAATGACTGTCGTTGAGTTTGAAAATTAAAGAGGTATCATCAACAAATAATACTATATCGTGATTGTCCCCTACAAAATAAGGTAAGTCATTAATATGGATTAAAAACAGGAACGAGCCAAGAATCGAGCCCTGAGGAACGCCCATTGATACTAAGGATCCGGAGGAACCTTTACCATTGATAATGAATTTTTAAGTTCTGTTATTTAAATATGAAATAATAAATCTAAGCGCAATATTTTTGACCGTAATGTTGTAGTTTCCTGATTAATATCTCACAATGAACACAATCGAAAGCCTTGGAACGATCACAAAAAATACCTAAGACATCTTGTGAGTTCTTCCAGGCATTAAAAATATATTTCATAAGCTTGATACCTGCGTCAGTCGTCGAACGACCCCTTTTGAAATCAAATTGATTTTTATGGAGTAATTTATTTAAAAAATTACTACATAAATATCAATAAAAAAAAATTATAATTGATCTAAAATTAGCGGGGTCCAATGCACTACCAGATTTAAATAAAGGTATTACTTTACTATGCTATGTTTCATTGACACACCAAATTCGATACTAGTATTAAAAATAATAGCAAGATGAGGTGCAATTAAATCTATTATGGACGCAATAACTGTAACGGAAAGCCCCTATAAGTATGCGATTTTCTTTACATGAAGGGTTTTGAAATATTTTACATCTTGTGGTAATACTTTTTCAAATCTAAATTATTTTAAACAGGCATTAACATTCTGTTTGAGTAATGAATCGGCGACAGTTGGAGAAGTATTCAATGACATTGTTGTCAAAATGGGTATATCAGTGAAATATTTCTCAAACACCGCTGCGACTAATGATAGTAAGACAATGCACCTGTCCACACAGCGAAGGTTTCGAGGCAGGTCCTGAAAGACAAGGGCTTCTCGGAAACCGACCACCCACCCTACAGGCCACACCTATTTCCTTTTTTCCAATTTGTAAAAGCATTTACAAGATTGTAAATTTGTCCATGGTAATGAAATGAAGCCTATTGAAAGCCATTTTGAGGGCAAAGAAATGGATAATTTTTTCGGCGGTTTCAAAGTGTAATCGGCCTGATGTAAAAATGTATTTGGCTTGTGTTTATATTTAAAAATAAAAATAAATTAATCAAACTTTTCTTTCATGTAACACCTTAGGCCACGGTCTTGTCAGACGCCACTCGTAATTGTTCCGGGTCGGGATGTTTGTCCTTGTGAAATTAATGTGTGTAAACTGCCATGATACATGAGAAATTCAAGATTAATGAACTGAGTAGAATTGAATAGAATAGAGTAGAATAATTGAAACTAAGAGGACAATTAGCTAGTACACTAATTTCTCTTCTAGCAATAACACACATGTATAGAAATTTCAGAAATCTATAATTTTAAATAATGTGATAATGCATTGGAAAAAATCACCAAGTCTGAATATATGTTACTATATTATAGTAAATATTGCAAATAAGCACAGTTTTGCTGCAATTATATTGCCTTTAATAAATCAACCAAACATCTTCTTAATCACACTTGTATACTCTTTATTAATTTTCTCTATTCTCGGTCTCAGTTCACTGGCTTTATTTTGAGCGGCTCTATCATTAGGATCCAAATTCAGCACATGTTGTATATCATTCCATGCTTCTTCATACATTTGGAGACCATGGTAAGACTGGCAGCGCCTGTATAGTGCCTTCACATTGTCCGGATCATGTTTTATTGCCCGATTGCAGAGTTCTAATGCTGCTTCATACTCATTGAACTGCAGCTGACAGTGTGCCAGATTATTATAAAGTTTTATCTGAAAATTAAAATAATATTTATTATTTTTCAACTCCTGAGCAGTTACACTCATCACATCAATAGCACACTCATCTAAGCAGCACATAAAAAAGTGGTAGAAAGTGATGAAACTTATTATCATCAATATAGTTATAATTTAAGTCACCTAATTCCTTCGACCTTTCCAATAGGCTAAATGCACACATGTTTTTACATGAGCTGAATAGCATGGGTAGCCATTAGTGCTCAAATACTAGACATGATAAATCAATACTTAAAAGCTAGTATGTTTTTCAACCGACTTCAAAGAAAGGAGGAGATTGTCAATTTCATTGTATTTTTTTATATGTTACCTCAGAACTTTTTTCTAGGTGAACCGATATAGATGTTTTTTTTATTTGAATTCTGGTGCTTCTCATGTGATTTCATATGAATTTGATCAAGGTTTGACCAGTAGTTTTTTAATTATCCTTAATAATTTATATTGAAGTCGGTTGTAGAATTTTTCAAATTTTACCGCTTGTTTTAACTATTATAAGCCAGCACTTGGCTACTAATCCACCTGACTTAGCTTAAGTTTATTCCACTCTTACCTTGAAAATACCCACATTGTAATCGGATAGAAACACTTAATCCCCAGCAACAGAAGGCGATCAATGAATTCCAAGGACACATTTCAGAAAGGAGCCAAAGAGTGCTAGCTCCCTTTTGCCATGAAGAGATATACTTGACGGCTCTGTGGCGCTGGGGGCCCCGGGTTCGAATCCCGCACGGAACAAGTATTTGTATGGCCTACAAATAATTGTTCCAGGTCTGGATCTTTGTTCTTGTGCAATTTGTGTTTGTAAACTGCCTCCACGATACAGGAGAAAATCCTAGTGTGGGGGTAACGTTTTATATTAAAAAAAAAAGAAAAAGAAAAAAAAGTACTTGTAATTTGGAGGTGTTGAATTTCCCAAGATTGGCATCACAGTCTGCCGTGATAGATTCTTATATACTCAAACATGGCTTTAAATTACAGGTTGTGAGGCATTTCATCTTAGTCCTGAAAGATGACTACACATCTTTGTTTAAAGCTGATCACACATGTCCATGGTCAGTAGTAAACACTTACCATCAGGTGACCTGTAAGTTTGTTTGACATTTCAATTTATAAACATGGTTATTCTGTTTTTCCACTCTAAAACAGCCACCCTAGGGTGGATACTTGGAAATATGTGTTCATTTATCCACTCCAGACAGGGTGGATAGTTGGAATTCACTTCCAATTGTTCTTCCGACTTTTAACCCCAAGTACAGTTCAGAAGTAAATAAATATATTTATGCACAATATATTATTAATTTTTAATAACCACAAACTTACTTAAAATGTCTTTTAGATATTATATTTAAGATATTATTTTGATATTATTTTTTTAACCATGCTAATGCCAATACTGTGATTTATTTTAATACTCTAATAGAACTAGAATCGAAATTAATTACTATAATATATTTCTGTCAATAAATAAATAAATAAATAAATAGCCATAAACACAAAAATTTACAGGATAAAATTATTTTCTATTTTTACTGTTTCAACAGTACTAGCACTATATGCTAAACAGTTTATATAAATTGTTTTTATGAAAGTTGTAGTATATATGACAACTTTCATAAAAAATTAAAGTGGCTAAATTTTAACAAAACGCCTTAATATTTTGGACAAAAAAAAAACATTTTTATGTCTTCTAATCATCTGAATAAATTCAGTTTGTAACCACAGTTAATAGTTGAGATACGCAGAGATATTGTGAAACTTTCTTATTTTCTGGACCATTAAACACAAATACACACAAATATAGATATACCTTTAATTCTATAATTTCTTTTACAGACTCTTCACTGATCACTTGTGGATCTACAGGTTCAATCGCTACTACCAATTTAAAGGCTTTACTAAATCTTCTAAATGCATCTAATATTCTTTTCTCTTTAACTAATTCTACTCCACATTCCTTATGATGACCAGCTGCTTCGTAAAGTCGAGCCCAACTCCAATCACTAACAAGTTGTTCTTCTGTAACATCCTTTAGTTCTATCTGACAGGAAATCTCTTTAACAAATTCACCTTTATTATTCTTGTATACAATTTTGCCAACGCACGTCTCACCGCAACACATTTGTTGAAGGATTAACTCAAAATCTCTGTCTATAAAAGAGTCAGAATCTCCAATTATTACCATTCCATCAAAATTTTTAGCAAAAATACGACTTCCCGATTCAATATCACAATCTCCAATTGAATTTGTGCATCGCACATTGGATAGCACAACTGTACATCTAGACTCCTCATAAGGCACGATAGAAAAGTCGCCCGGCGAAATTAGTTTTTTCGTAATTTCTCTGTCGGGTCTAGAACTCACAATTGATTCTTCATGCATTTTAGCTATTATAGACTATGCAATGTTTTAAAATTTAAGAATTTATTTGTCTTACTTGGACTTTGAGTAATAAATAATTAAGTAGTATAGAACTTTAAATGCATTTTAAGTTTTCCTAGTCTTAATCACAACATCACTCAATTGCATTCTGTATCAAATAATCAAATAAAAACAATACATAAACCAAGTTACCAAGTTACCAAGATAAAGCTTGTATATATTTTTTTTATTAAACTCGCTTTACGGCTCTGGGTTCTAGCCCTTCTGAGCCTGGCGTGATAAAGCTTGGAATGGAACCTAACATAGGTAAAGAACTAAGTAGCAATAGCAATTTATAAAAAGTACTCTGTGAATAGCAAGCTGCTAGTAACCGCCTGGAGTTTAGGCGGGAACTTGACCGGCGGCGGGTTGCTGCTCCTGTTTTATTGTTTAAATAATGGTTTGAAGTGGACTTTGATATGTAAAAGTGGTGCAATTTTGTGTATTAAGTGTCTGCGCATGTGAACTATTAGTGGAAACTGTGAAACTAGTGCTCTGATAGTGATGTGAATCTCAAAATAAGGTGCCTGTCTGCTTAGGCGCCTAGAGATACCATCGCCAACTGTCAGCTGTCTGCTGGCTCAAGTTACCGTCAAAATCTCCCAAGGGCTGCACAATGTGACGCATCAACATATTGTGAAGCAATATACTATGAAGAATAATTATTATAATATAATATTATAATAATATTTTATGCTAATAAAACTAAGGGTCTGGTATTTGAAAGGGACGAAGAGAGAACGAAGTGTGAAATATGGGTAAATCAGGAATGTCTAGAACAGGTAAATGAAATTGTATACTTGGGGAGTGCTTTTAGCCGGGATGGAAGATGTGATTTAGATGTGGACAGGCGTGTCGCTGCCGGGAACAAAGTCAATGGTGCCCTGACTGCGTTAGTCAAAAGGCAAGGCGTAGCGAAGAGTGCACGCCTTGCAATACATAACGCAGTGTTGGTACCGACTTTGTTATATGGCAGCGAAACCTGGGTATGCCAGAAGAAGCATAAAAGTAAGTTGAATGCAGTGGAGATGCGATCTCTTCGTAAAATGTGCGGCGTTACTATGGCCGACCGAAAGCGAAACGAAGAGATTCGCAATATGGCAGGTTTGAAAGATGACCTTATCACAAAAATTGATAAGGGCGTGCTTCGGTGGTTTGGGCACGTTGAGCGAATGAGTGAAGACCGAATGGTGAAGAAAATATATAGCGCGAAAGTTAATATTAAAAGGTGTCGAGGTAGACCGAGACTAACTTTCGAAGACCATGTGAGCAAATTGCTCGAAGAGGGTAGGGTCAAGAGTACTCGGATACCTAGACGTGCATGTATGAAGAAGATAATGAATCTGAAAGAAGCGAAAGAGATATGTAAGGATCGTGACACTTGGCGATCTGTTCTCTCTGGCTACCCCGTCAGGGATTGTGCGTGAAGATAAGTAAGTATAATATTGTAACTTCAGGCTCAGAAGAGCTAGATCCCAGAGCCATAAAGCCAGTTATTGAGAAGATTAAGAAGAGTAGTTACCGCCTGTCAAACATCGATAGTTTTTTATGAAGTAACCGATACTTATCGTCGATATTTTTGGATAGAAAAACGTAGGCACATCCGTCTTTTTGCGCAACGCTATGGAGGGTAGAAAAGTTTCCGTCGAAATGCGTTAAATTAGGGTGGCGCTTTGTAGCGTAGCTTTGTAGTTTTAGCTAAAATATATTAGAAAAAAAAATCTTTACAATAAGTTGTTGTGACACACTGCGATGGTTATAAGGGATTTGACTAAAGGGCGCTTTAATAGACAAAATAACTCGAGGGTTATAATATCATTATCGGTATAGTTGTTTCGTGGAAGCTTTTAATCAATTTTTTTTTTCACTTGCTCTACCCTATTAGTCAGATAAGAATATGATGACATTGACAAGCAAATGACAATTGATATAATAATCTCAATCTCATACAATATTTCTCAAAGTGACCACAACGCCCCCTTGTGGGCGTTGGAGACTAGAAAAAAATGGGCGTTGGCATGGATTTGATTTGTAATTTCATTTAGATACTTTATATTTTATTATTTACTAAAATTAAAACCTATCTACTGCTCAATATCAAATAATTAGTTTATATTTTTAACCTGTACTATGGTATATAAACTAGAAATACTTAACATATATTTCGTAGGATAGCCCGTACGCCGTACGCAATCAAGTTGTAACCAGTTTTTGTTAAATAACGTTATTGGTACAATCCGGTAGCAATCGGCTGGTTCATCGATATTATCTTAACTTGCTCAGTACGATTGAGCATCGAAAGAGATAAACGAGTTTGTGCGTGTTTATCTTATTCCTGTCGGTGCGTGCTGTATTTAAATATTATATATAAAAAAACCTCTTAATAATTTTTATATTTTTATTAGTGCCTTTGAATCTTTAAACAAGTATTTAAGTTCAACACATCATCATCATCATCATCATTACAGCCCTTCACAAGTCCACTGCTGAACATAGGCCTCCCCCAAAGAATGCCACAAAGCACGGTCCTGAGCCACCTGCATCCATCGACTTCCTGCATATCTTACCAGGTCGTCACTCCATCTAGTGGGGGAACGCCCCACACTTCGCTTGCCGGTACGAGGCTGCCACTCGAGAACCTTTCTTCCCCATCGGTTGTCGGTTCTTCGAGCTATATGGCCGGCCCATTGTCACTTCAGCTTACTAATCCGTTGGGCTATGTCGGTCACTCTGGTTCTACTGCGGATATCCTCATTTCTGAGTTTATCACGCAGAGAAACTCCGAGCATAGCCCTCTCCATAGCTCGCTGAGCGACCTTGAGCTTCCTCATCCGGCCAGCAGTGAAGGACCACGTCTCAGTTCCGTATGTCATCACTGGCAACACGCACTGGGTGTACAGTCTCGTTTTCAAGTTTTGAGGTATACCTGACGAGAAGATGTGCCGTAATTTCCCGAACGCTGCCCAACCGAGTTGAATCCGTCGATTGACCTCTCGGTCGAAGTTGGACTTACCTAGTCGGACTATTTGTCCCAGGTAAACATACTCGTCAACAACTTCGAGCTTAGTGTTCCCAACAACTACCGGCATAGGTGTGACATGGACATTAAACATGATCTTTGTTTTGTCCATGTTCATCTTAAGACCTATCCGTTGGGAAACACTATTGAGGTCATTGAGCATAGTGCTTAGGTCCTCCAGCGATTCTGCCATAAGGACTATATCGTCGGCAAATCGAAGGTGAGTGATGTACTCGCCATTGATGTTGATACCGTATCCTTTCCAGTCCAGAAGCTTGAAAACATCTTCCAATGCAGTGGTAAAGAGTTTCGGGGATATGACGTCACCCTGTCTTACACCTCTCTGCAATTGGATAGGTTTCGTACTCTGGTTCTGTACTCGGATAGCCATCGTAGCCCTACTGTACAAGCACTTCAACACTTCGATATACCGACAGTCAACTTGGCATCGCTGAAGGGACTGCAGCACCGCCCAAATTTCGACGGAATCAAAGGCTTTCTCATAGTCCACATACGCCAGACATAGTGGCAAATTGTACTCCTCGGACTTCTGTACAATTTGCCGAAGGGTATGTTTGTGGTCTATGGTGCTAAAGCCTTTTCGGAAACCGGCTTGTTCGGGAGGCTGGAAGTCGTCAAGTCTGCGCGCGAGACGATTTGTAATGACTCTCGAAAACAGCACGTAGACGCGGCTCAGAAGGGAAATCGGTCTGTAGTTCTTCAAGAGAGCGTTGTCGCCTTTCTTGAAGAATAAGACCACCGCACTTCTGCTCCACGCCTCCGGTGTAATGCCACCATGAAGGACGGAATTAAAGAGCTTCTGAAGGACTTCAAGTACCGGTCTTCCACCCGCTTTCAGAAGCTCCGCTGTAATTCCATCCTGGCCTGGGGCCTTGCCGTTTTTAAGGTGCTGGAGAGCCATTCTAATCTCGCTCCGACTGACGTCCGGGATATCATCGGAATAATGTCGGATAAGACTCGCTCTTGGATCGTTACTCACACTTGCGTGTGGCTCCAACGATGACGTGTACAGCTGCCCATAGAACCTCTCAATCTCACTCAAAATCTCAGGTGCCCCGGAAACGATGCTGCCGCATTCGGTCTTCAGCTTTGACAGTTGGCTCTTTCTGGCAGACAGATCTCTGGCAAAGACTTTGGAGCCTTGGTTCCGCTCGATCGCTTCTTCAATACGAGCTGTATTGAAGTTGCGTAAGTCCCACCGCATGCATTTGGAGATCTGTCTGTTCAGTTGCCTGTATGCTGTCAAATCTGTTGAAGAATGTAGCTTCATCTCCCGTCTAACAGCCATGAGATTAAGAGTGTGATCGGAGAGTTTTTGTGTTCTTCTGCGGCGGGTCTTGCAGAACTTAGCTCCGACCGCATGGACAGTTTCCACGAGCTTGTCATTCAAATCGTCCACTTCATTGCAGTCTTCTAGGCACTGAAAACGGTTTTGCAACTCGAGCTGAAAGGTTTCGGGACTTTGGATTAGAGCACGAGGGGGACGGAGCGTTGACTTCATTAGACGAGACCTCTCCAACTTAACGTTTAGGTTCAGTGTGCCTCTAACCATTCGGTGATCGCTGCCGGTTTTCACCCTCGCGATCACTGAGACATCACTGAACAGTTGTCGTCTGGTCGTCATAATGAAGTCAATCTCATTTTTGTCGAACCGTCGGGGCTCGACAAGGTCCAGTTCCTGTGGGGCCGCTTCTGGAAGAAAGAGTTCATCATAGAGAGTCCCTCTTTCTCCATGAAGTCGGCCAACTGCTGGCCCTTTGGGTTCCGTTGCCCTATTCCAAATTTCCCCACTTTCAGCTCACCGTTCTCTCTTGTGCCTAGTTTTGCATTGAAGTCTTCCATTAACACCGTATATTGGGTTTTGGAGGAATGCATGGCTTTAGAGATATCCTAATACATTTCCTCCACCTCTTGATCGGGG